TGGGGAAAGGTTATTGGGAAAAGGTGCGTGAACCATCTTTCTGCACAGGTGTAACTCAGCTGAAGCCTCTGCATGTTCATAACAGAAGTGCTTACCAGGATCTGAGCAGGGAGTCTTTGGTCCTCTGAGGTCAAAATGTCACCAAGCAGACGCTTGTGCAGGCCTAGAAGGAGGGTCGCTGCTTCTCACCAGTCGTAACAAGTTCAGCTCAAACTAGACACAGCTGACTCTGGGCCCAGCTGAACTACGTGAAGTTTCCTGGAAAATAACTCAGGCAAACATCTTATTTAGGCTACGTGCCCCTTGGAGGCAAGTCTTAAAACAACCTTAATTAGTGAAGCCAGGTGCAATGGATTTGACTAATCATTACCCACAGTTCCAAACCAGTACCTAAAGGATCTCACCTGAGTTCCCTCAAGTATCTGACAAATCTTGTCAGATGAAGGAAGGTCTGTGCCTGCCCTTTATGCGCAGAGGTGTTTTACAGAAAGACCCACATCACCCCCTAGTGGTCAAAGGGGCACATTTCTCACATGCCCTCTGGTGTCTCAGCGCCTGCACCCCCTTCGTGGTGAGTGGGGAGTTGCTGGTTCCACACTGCGCAGCCAGGGCCACCAAGTATCAGAGCAGAACTAGGAAACACGCGGCCATCGATGTGGTGACCTGCTGGGATACTGCAGAGATTTACTAGTACTTAGTTGCGCAAGTAGTCACCAATCCCATTGATTGGTGTCGTCGATCAGTATAATTAACCTTAACCTCTTGCAGCCACATTCAAGGTGCGTGGGTTCCTCAGGTCTCTGTCCTAAGTTCTCTGCTCTTTTCTTTGTATATTCTATCATCAAGGGACCATATACACTTTCATTCTTCCAATTATGGAAATTGTCCTGAATTTTTACCTTCATCCAGGTCCTTTTTTTTGAGTCCCTGACTTATGCATACAACTGCTTTCTGCATATTTCTGGTCAGATTTCTGTCTCAAAGGCACCCCAAATGTGAAGTGAATCATGACCTTCTTTCCACTGGGTCCTCCTAACCATCTGGCTGGTGGTCACAACCATCCCCCCTATATATTGCCTCTTGTGTCTAATCAATTACCCCATCCTTTGATTTTATTTCCTATGTTTTAAATCTCTCATTTCCCCATATTTTAGCACCACCGTCATTGTCCTATAGCTTCATTATCGCCTGGCTGGGCAATGGTATTGGCTGACTCTATTCTCTGCTTCATCCTTTCCACACTGCCCATTGTTGTGGAATGCCAGAATAATTCAAATAACAAAACAAAATGACAAATAACAAAATAATTCAAAACAAAACAAAACAGTGCACACACACAGCAAGAACAGCAAACAGCAATTACTACAGAAGTCAAATACTTAAAACCTCAATGGCAGGGCAAGGAGTATATGAGAACTCTGTATCTTCTGCTCAGTTTTGCTGTGAACCTGAAACTGTTCTAAAAAATTGTCTGTAAGAAAACCTCAATGGCTCCTACTCAATTTTATGTTAAATTCCACATCATACATGTTGAGGTTCCTCAGTAATAACTTAGACAAAAATCTTTCTAAGGATGTTTTCAAACATCTTTTGCCCCCTGTGTAATGAGGAGAAAGTAATGTTTCTGGTAAAAGGACACACAAATCTTGGTGTAAAGCATATAAGAATAATTTTTAGTGTTTTCGCTCATACCTTTCCCAAAGGGAGGATAAATTGATCGTCACCAGCAGTCAATTAGTCAATAGTCCATTTGTGTTAAAAAAACAAAAGCATCTTAATTGATTTTTTAAAAATGGAACCAGGGAGAGAATTACAGATAAAAAAACCAGTAAGATATTTCGACACTATTTGAAATTGACTCTTGATCACTCAAAGGTGTCTAATTGCTTTGCTTTCCGTGTTGCAGAATGGAAACCCAGGGAAGCAGCCAATCAAATGATCACCTTCAGACACCTAATGCATATTATATACTGCAGCAATTGTGTTGAGAGTCTTGTAAACCAGTTCCAGAAATTATTTTTGTGAGATGTTGCATTTCAATGCCAGTTGACTCACAACCTTGCCAATCTCTTATGTGTAAAGTAGGGTATTGAGTAAGAAATGGACATTCAGAATGGTGATCTCCAAGGATATGGAAGACTTAAAGGCTCTTGACTCCCTCAAAGCCTCTGAAATTCTCTCCATGGCCTCTCTATTACTGGAGAACACTGTGCCTCTGTTGTGTGTGTGTGTGTGCGCGTGTGCGTGTGTGTGTGTTGGGGGGAGGGGGAGATAAGAGTCTATCTCTTACTCCATCCATCACGGGCTCTCAGAGGCTAACTTGGTTTCAAGTACAACATAGCCCAGAGAGTAGAATATAGACTCAGAGCACGAAGACAAAGCATTACACTTAAAAAACTTCCCACTTGTATCCCAAAAAATTTGGAGGTAATGTAGGATTTTATTTTCATGGTCCTATTTCAAGGAGGACAGGACACAAATTTGGACTGGATTATATTCAGTACTACTATAATAGTAGTAGTACTACTACTATCATCTTCAGAATATACCATACTCCCCTAAAATAACACATGTGAGCAGCAGGCTGACCTTGATAGTCAGCTGGATTGGAAAAGGTAAGTTCGGACGCAGCATCCATCCATGCTAACTGACACTGGAATATGATCCTCTTACGCTTAATGTAGAGGAAGGAAATAAATGACAGCTTGAGATAGAGATGTTATCACTTTAACTATGTTTCATGCCAGAGCATAAAATGCTCTTATCTGTTCCTTGCTGTTGGTGAAGGAAGCAGTGAGATATTTAAAAAATATTTTACTAGCTCTCTAGGCTGGAAATGCTGACACAGCAGGGGGCTGCTACTAAAATAGGTCCCTGGTTTCAGTGGAAATGAACAAAGTCTGAGGGCGGGTGACTGAACTTATGTGGGGTATTTAATCACAGTAACAAATGGACATGGTCATCATGTAGATATAAAGTGGCAGCAGGTCCATTGCTGAGTTGGTTCCCATTTTTTCTGTTCAGTTCCACCTGGTCAGGGACAAGGTCTTATCTTCATGTCTTCATTTTCACACTTGGTGTCTAAGCATCAGCTCCCTGGTTCTCACTATATAATGTCCTTCATCCTGCTCTTTCACAAACTGTAATCCCTTCAGTTATTTCTTTTATTTTTCTCTCCTTTTTGGTCTCATACACATAGGATTTGATTAGTCTTAACCCTTGGCTCATAACACACAGGCATTGTTTATTGATGCATGTTATTTATTTATTTAAAAAAATAGTGGGAGGGGCTTCCCTGGTGGCGCAGTGGTTGGGAGTCCGCCTGCCGATGTAGGGGACACGTGTTCGTGTCCTGGTCCGGGAAGATCCCACATGCCGCGGAGCGGCTGGGCCCGTGAGGCATGGCCGTTGAGCCTGCGTGTCTGGAGCCTGTGCTCCGCAACGGGAGAGGCCACAGCAGTGAGAGGCCCGCGTACCGCCAAAAAAAAAAAAAAAAAATATATATATATATATATATATATATAGTGGGTAATTATGAAACATCTGCCCCACTCATCCAATGATATGCAAGGTAGACCTTGACAATATTTAAATATTTAAACTATGTGGTTTACCCCCATCCCGTCTCCTGCCACTCCCCATCCAAGTCCCACATTAAACATCATCCTGAACTTGGGTCATCACCCTCCCTTGCCACTGTGTGTTGGTAAATGTTTGACAACCAGCTCTCTGGAGGAAAATACAACAAGCCCTGATTTGTGGTGTCTGCTGATTACTGTGGTGTAAACATCCCTACTATGGCTGATTTCAAGCTATTAGCATGACGTCACTGACATTAAAGTTGGGAAAGATGTGTACAATGGGCCCTCGTGAGCTGTAAAATCCAGCTCCAGCGACAGCTGTTTCTTGCTTTACTTTTAATGTAATCTTTTTCTAATATATTTGAGGTTGTGAAAATTATTTTCTTGATTCAGTTGTTTTTAGCTTTATAAAAACTGTGTCATGCTTTACAAAACCTTACCAGGGTTAGTTTTTGTAGTTGGTATTATATTGCTAAGATTACCTATAACATGGCTCATCCCTGTAGTGCATTCATTTTGACGGACGTATGTAGTTTTCCACCACATGAATATACCACAGTTTATTCATTCACTCTCTTGTCAATGCATAGGTGCCTTGGTTGCAGGTTTTGCTATTGTGAACAGTGCTGCTGCGAACAGATTTTTATGTATGTCTTCTGCATGATAAGCACATGCAGAAGCTTCCTTGATGTAGTGGATTTGTTGGGTCATGGAATAAAGGAATGACCAACTATATGAGTTAATGCCAGTGTTTCCCAATTGTTTGCATCACTTATGCCCACAGCAGTAATCCTGTGGACCAGACCCCCTCTAACAGTTTATATTTCTTTGCTAATCAAATGGGTATCAACTTACATATCATTGCGTCTTGCTTCATGTTTCCTGATCACCAGTGGAGTCAAATATCTCCTCATGTGTTTATTGATCGTAGATGATTCTTCTATTAAGTGTATGTTAATATCTTTTGCTTTTTTTCTCGGGCCATACAGTATTTGTGGTCGATGTGTGATTTTTCCTAGAAAGGGATTTTTTTGAAAATCACTGCTCCACTTACTATCTTGTGGCTTCCGACAGAACTTTCTGGTTTTATAGACAAGACTTGTTGGCTGAAGTCTTTCTTATTTACTCTGTCTTCTCTTCCCTCTGACACCTTTGTTGAGAGACAGAAACACATTCCCTGTGAAGGTTCGGGGCATGCTCTGTACCTGGGTTTAAAGGGTGCACCCCATGCAGTCCTACCCTGTTCATTCATCAACCCCAATACTATATATAGCACATCCCTGAATTCTTTCAAGAGTGAACATCTCTACTTGGCCTCCTAATGATTCTGTTTATCTTGAGGGCCTAGGATGGTGACAAGACAGTGCTGAATTTTCTTGGAGAGACAAATGCCAGAGTTTATTATAAAAATACACAGTGCATTATAGAAGCATTTTGAGATGTGCCTATAGGATTATGTGTTGATTTATCTAAGAAGATATGATTAACATATGGCAGAGTCAGAAGAAAAATCCAGGTTTTATAATTTTCAGCCCAGGGAACTTTCCAGGTTGGTTGGCCATGTATAGGACCAGCTCCATTCCCATATGGCTAGCTCTCTAACACCATGCTTTCTCCACGCTCCGTACTCAGATATTTTCTCTCTCTTTCTGCATACACACGATCACAGCTGACTCAGTCAGAGAGGCTGTGGTTTTTCTCTCTCCACACCTCCTTCCACGGGGCTCCATGGCTTTGGTGGGGTGGGGGGTGGGAGCTGTTACAAAGGTTCTTGTTTTGGTCTCTGATCTCTGCCCAGCGCTGTGTCTCTGACACCACAGAAGTAGAGGCTGCTGTCGGCAGGATGCATATTTGTCACCATCAGAGATGAAAATGTGAGGCTTGAGTGGCTGATGGGGTACTTGGCCTTGGTATAACCTTGTTCATATGTGGCATCAGAGCCCGCATTAGAAGTGGCTATCAGCACGAGGCCCTGTTTTGGGAACTGATGATACCAATACACAGTTGTGGCTTGAAGTGTCCCTGGATGGCACTGGATGGTCACAGACGCTCCACTCTTACAGATAGCCCTGCTGGGATGTTGAGAGACGAGAGCACTGAGCCCAGAGCCTGCTGAGACAGAGGTCAAGGAGATGAGAGGCCAGCAGGACAGACAGACATGACCACAGGCAGAAAAATCACAGCCACGCTCGCTCACCTTTCTCTCAGCTCCCAGAGAATCCTGTTTGTTTTGTGAAATCTTCCTATCCCAATCCCCCGTCTCCCCTGACTGCTGACTTCTCACCTCACCCTTTACAGCTCCAGAGGGCATGGATGTTCCCTCTCATTTTGATCAGTGTAAAAACCCACAACCTCTGGCTGTCACTTCACTCATGCCAACACACACGCACACTTGCCCAAACTACTCAGATAATAAGGCCCGTACTGGGTCCCAGAAGCAGCAGAAACACCAACATCTTCAGGACCCAGCCTCGCACCACACGTCTCCGAAGAGAGGTAGGACCTTGCTCTTCAATCTTCCTTTTTCCACCCCTAGAAGGAGGGACGACTGTTTATGTAATCCTAAAGATGCTCAAATCTGCCTCCTGGTGGCCATCATTGCCAATGATGCAGGATCCATCCAGAGAGTGCTAGCTGCAGTGAGGGCTTGGAACTCTCATCATGTCACATTTTAGTGCTTTAAATACTATTCAAGGGGTTAGTATCTCTTTTCCATCTCTGTTTCTCAGTATTTTGGTGCTAGTGTGAATATGTGGGAGAATATATGGGAGAAGAAAGCCAAAGTTAACACAAAATTCAAGAAGGAACCCGAATAAAATGCCTGGCGCCAAGGCTTGTACGTAATGGTCAGGGACTCCCCACGTGTTCCCCAAAATTGCTTGTCCCAAGAGACACAGGGTCACGCCGAGGAGACTGGGACTCTTAAATGCTTCCAAGAATGATTTAAAAATATGTTTCATACAGCCTTTTTAGCTGTATGCAGTGGGAGGGTTAGTCTGAATAATATGGGCTGTCAATCTTTTCTAGAAACAGAACTATGTGATTAAATAAATATTTGTGACAAAATGAAGTTCCAAGAATTAACACACTTGCCTCCTAATTTGATAGATTGGTGGCAGACCACAAAAGGAGAAAAGATACACAAAATGTAAAGACCATTTGCAAAATAATACTGATCACCGGTCTGCTTATTAGTCATGCAAACATTTCTCTGAAGCCTGACTCTTCCAAGTGCCAAGCCTACATTTACAAGAGCCTGGTAGGTATTTCTACGCACACATCCAAGGAAGGCCCACTAGAACTAGAAGGCCAGTTTTGTTTAATAACGTTGCTCCACCCATTTTCCCAAATTTTCTCCTATTGCCATATTCCGGGGAGGAGGTGGTGAGCATCTTTTCCCTATCTTATCTCGCGATTTTCTCCTGCCGTAGTTCCCTAAGCCTGTATCACTATGCTGGTGTTTTTCCATCTGGTGGTGAAATCCTACTCACATTCGAGTTTCAGTTCACATTTTGCCTTTCCTTTGAAGCCCTTCCTGATGTCAACAGACAGAACTGACTGTGTTATTTCCTACACGCCACTAATACCTCTGATGAAAGCACACATTCTATGATGCTTGATTACAGTATGTTTCTACACATTTCTCTCCCCACTAGACTTTTATTATCTTTCTGAAGGAAGGGACCATTTTCTGTTCATTTTTTGTTTTCCAGTATTCGGTAAAAAAAAAAAAAATCTGTGTTGTGAAATTACCCTCTCCTCTCTCTCTGATGTAGGTAGATATAGATAAATAGGTTTATGTAATTTTAAAAATCAACTTAGTGGATCGCTGAATTGTGATGGTGCCAGTTCCACAGCGTGCGCTGTTGCAGCAGCTGCTGTGGCTGCCTGGTTGAGGAGGAAGAAAGGGGGCTGACCAGGGTACTAAAGACAGAAAAGCCCCGCCACCTGGTGGGGAAGCGGAGCTTGGGCCGCATTTATGTGAGAGAGGAGGTGGCTTTGCTTCCCTGTGTCTGTATTAGTGGTGCAGAGACAGAGAGCCGTCTGGTTCTTTGGTGTCGATGTCAAGGTGAGAGGAAACAGTGACTTCTTCTCCCAGGAGGCACTGCATCCTTCAGCTATGTCTCCTTTCTGAACATCCTTTACAATTTGAGAGTAGTAGCCCTTGTCCTGGGTCCTGTCGGTACCAGTACATGGCGTCGTAACCAAACTCCTGTTCACATTTCAGGGTCACATCTCGTCCTTCCACTTGGAACAGGTATTTTCGGGTCTGAGTGACCCTGCCATCCACAGTGCCTATGGAAGAAAGGGAGTGGCTCTGGGAACACGGCCCAAGAGGGTGTCTAATGCTGCTGCCATGAGGGAAAGGCTTAGCTCTGGAGCTCAGCCCCTTTGGGACAGAAACTTGCTTCCTGAACCCAGGACTCACCTGCTCCGAGGAGACAAAGGGCCACACAGCAGATCACCTGGTTGCCCATAGTGGAAAGGGGGTCTCCTTGTAGCTCTGAGCACAGACAAATGAGGAAAGAAACTTAGCTCTGGGGCTCCCCTGTCTTAATGGGTGGAATCTGTCATAAGGCCAGAAAGGATAGTTGGATAGAATCCTGGAGATATTCAAGACAGGCTCCCTAATATTGTAGATGAGGAGATTAAGAACAGAGATCTGAATCACTTGCACCCCCCTTGTGCCTCTCTCCCCAGAACTCTGCATTTTGTCTGGCCCGGATGGGTGGTACCACCACATTTCCAGGCCAGAGCCTGGAAATGATTGGCCCACGGGTTTTCACCTTCCTCGTTATGGTAACGTTTGCTTACTATGGGAGCATAGTAGGTGCTCTGGTCACACAAGAATGCAGAGTTTATTTTTAATCCCATCGCTGCCATAGTTACTGCTCCAGATCTGTAGCAGAGGAGGAACAGAACGAACACCAGGTTGAAACTGCCTCCCTTACTCTTTAGCCCCTGTATTCTATTACTTTAGCCCTGCACATCAAGAGTTAAACATTAGAGAAATGTTGCTTGTGCCCAAATAGCTCATTAAGTTCCCTCAAGAAAGTCCCCATCCCACAGTCCCAGGTTCATTATGGCTATTACTTGTAGATAAGTTTGCTTTCAGCCTAGAAACCTCGTGAATAAGCAGAGATAAGAGTGGTAAAGTAAAAATAACTGCTAACAACTTGAAGTTTTTTTTTTTTTTTTTTGAAAGAAGGAGCATGATTTTATTGAAATGTTTTTCGTACAGTGTTGGAAGATCTTCGAATCTTATATTCTAAACCAATACAAGCACTGCAAATGACATAGTTCCTCAATCTATTTGACATCATACCTACCAAAGGAAAGCTATACTACGAACCTCTTTAAGTTGGTTAATGTAACTTAAGCTGGAAACTGAGCAACTCTGGTATATTCATATTTCTCTGGCTCCCCTTTTCGGCTAGATGTACGCCAAGTCAACCGCCATGCAGCAGAGTCAGACAGGACCAATATATTTGGTGGTTTCACTGAAACGTTTCCGCATAAGCAGCAAGGAACGCACAAGTTCTGGGATTAAGCTGCTCTCAAGGCTTAATCATCTTTTTTGAACCGGACCATCAAATAGTTAAGGGCTACATGGCCGCTGCCCAGGGCTACGTCTAGTCTATTTAGTTGACAGACGTACCAGAGTTTTGCAGAAGCCTCGTGATGCAGCCTTGTGAACAAGCAGAAGAACAAAGAAATGTTATGCTTCCCTTGAAGGCCGGGTGGCTCCAGGAAGTCTGCTATCTGCCTTTACCCTTTATCATTAAACCCTCCGGCTTCCCCTTTTTCCTTAGCATAAAAGCAGCCTGAATTCTACTGCAAAATTTAGGACATTAGTCTACCATCTTGTCATCTTGCTGGCTTTCCGAATAAAGTCGCTATTCTTGCGCCAATACCTTGTCTCTTGACTTTCTGGCCTGTGGTGCGTGGGGCAGTAAGAGCTTGGACTTGGTAACAAAACTTGACAAGCCGGCCAGGAATCTTGCTGCTCGTGGCCAGCTGGCCCTGCTTGTCAGGGCCCTAGCAGCAGCCAGGACCTCTTGTCCTGGGGATCCTCCTTCAAAAGTCCTCAGAGTAGCATCAGCTGCCCTAGCGCTTAGCAGCTGGAGCAAACGCTTGACATCTGGGAGTCAGCAGTCTCAATGCAGTACGGCAAGTCACTTCAGTGTGTACAACCAAAAACTCCCCTCCCCTCCACCCCGGGCTTTTCCTGTCTGGAATAAGCCCATTTGTTTTGCATTTGTGTGGGGCACCCTGTTGAAGAGGTAAATAGTTGTTAGACGCTACCTGATTTGTGAACCAGTTCATTTGTTTCTCTAGATGCTAGCATTTGGTTTTGGGAGCACCACTTGTGCTTTGTTTTTCTTGCCTTTCTGTTTTTTAAAAGATGGGAAACATTTCATCCATCTCTAAAGAAAACTCACTGGTCGCATTTGGAAAAATTGTCTGATTATAGCTGTGAACCTATGACAGAAACAGATGACATTTTATTGCAGAAATGTCTGGCCACATTATTCATTGGCATCTGAGGAACAGTGGCGTCTGAATGGTTCTCTGAATGATTATACAATCTTGCAGTTAGAGTTATTCTGTGAAAGAGCGGGGGAAATGATGAGATTCCTTACATGCAAGCATTTACGTTGTTACATCAGGAAGAGAGAAAGTCAGACAGTTGCTACCTTATGGTACAAGGGTCTGAAAAGAAACCCAAGAGAAAATCTGTTCTACCGGAGGACAAGGAAGGGAATGAGAGTGAGGATATATGGCTGCAAACCTTAAATCCTCCTCTGGCCATGCTGGCTGTCCCTGCATCTGCTCTAACCATCCTCATGCAACTGATGTCCATCCCTTCCAGTGCCTCCTGTTTCTATACCCCAGCTCCTGACACTGAGGTGCGGGAAGTCCCTTCTTATCGGATCAATTGGAAAATCTTGTGTTGGTTCCTAGGGCACAACGACATGGTCTGGTATCGTCATTTAAGACCCAACTGGGCACTCAGCTTAGACCCGGAGCCACCTCCAGGGCAGGGCAATTTCCCATTATCCTGTAGGGAGCTTCAATGAGAATGGCCGGCCAACTGGGTATTTAAGGACGCACAGTCCATTTTCAACCTCAGATTTGTTTAACTGGAAGGACTGAAACCCTCCATATAGAAAGGATCCTTTTCAAATGACAGAATTGTTCACTTCCATTTTCACTACCCACCAGCTTTCACAGGCAGACATTTGTATTCCCAACATGATGCTTACCGGGCGATGAGAAGATGGTGGTCACGGATAAAGCTAGAGAGGTAGCGCACCAGCTCCACCTAGTGGACCCAAACGGTACACCCAAAACCCACTCGGCAGTACCCACTGCTGAACCAAACTGGGACTCCAGTGAAAGAGGG